ACTCTTTCAGCACAGATATTCTTAGTTAGAATTCTAAGTTATTCCTTTGAATCAGAAATAGAAATCCCCATCTCAGCGAGCAGTTTCTTCGGCTATGGGACTGTCATCCGTGCATACACATACACACAAGTATGCCATATAAATTCATATGCAATCTCTACCCTGCCACACATTTTACATATTTGTATTTTTGTTCCATTTGGGATATTCTGTGTGCCTGTGGTTTTTTTCCCATTTGTTTTCCTGTATGTAGATTAACAGTCATTTTACAAAATGCTTTCTTGTTCGAGCCATGCTATGGAATGGCTCTAAACTTCAGCATTCTTTGTAAAAAAGATACAGATCTCTCTTATTTCATTTACTTATACAACCGAAATAAAGACTTTAACATTTTGATCCATAAAAGGCAAGCAGCAATAACATTTTTGACCTATTATATACTATGAAGTCTTTATTTCTTATGTTTGAACCTTCTGTTTAGCGCAAGAATAATTTGCTCTGGGGGAGCGTTTAGGATGTGTATTTCTCACGGCAGCTCTTGTACCCAGGTTATTGTTTGGGCCATGCAAGCAATGTGATGGGCATGGTTCACACACATAGATTGGAGCAGCCAGGGAAAGAATTTAAGAAACAAACAGTGAGAAAGAGGATTCAGTTTTACAGAGAAGCCAAGCAAGCGCCGTGCCTTCAGATCTCAGGCGTGAGAAGTGAGAGTTTGTAATTGCAGCTTTTGTTTTTCCGCCGTTAGGAAAAGACTGTTGCTCTTAAGTTTTATGTTTCACGCATTTTTCACAACTTAAATTATGTCATCTTGGTTGGTTTTTTTTTCCTAGTGCCAATTTGCCTGCATTTAAGCCTTATAATAGTTTATTAAAGCTGGCATGTGGAATAGCAGAGTGGTCGTGATGGAAAGTTTGGGCTTGATTCCCGTCAGCACTTTGAAGACATCCGTGTCACACCAAGTTGTCTTATGCAGCGAGTTGGTCGGGTGTAAGCTGCTTCTGCCACTGACTTTGTTTATGGGAAAAAATAATCTGGCTGTGAGAACTAGACTTATTTTCAAGTAATTGACAAGAACTGTGTCCGTGATCCCCAATATAAGCTTTTTCCAGTCACTTTGGAGAGATTAGATGTCTCTTAACATCATCTTAGTAGCAGTGAAGTTGCTCCAGAAAGACTCCTTTAATCATATTAGTTTCGCTGCCATCACCCCGTCTTCAGATTCTTTCTTCTTCCCTAATAGACCCAAATCTGCTTTTGCCATCTATTAGGTCCAACATTAATGCTCCTTTGCATATTAATTACCGTTACTTTACCTATAACATTCAGCTCGCTGTCTTCTGGCTCCCCAGGTTTGAAGCTGCAGGCTTGGAGCTGTTACTTTTTCCACGTGGCAGTAGAAAATAGAACAAAGTAAAGCAGAAGGACCCAACAGTTGAGTCAGAAACGCTTCCAGTCTCTAATTTGGCTTGTAATATGATTTATGAATGAATTTTCCCGTATTTTAAGAAGTTAACCTTGGCTTCTTGTCATAAATATTTGATCAAACTTTTTAGGAAGCTTCTGAGCAATCTCAGTTTCACATGTATGTGGGGGAAAAAAGTTTATGGATGTTTTCCATTTTAAAAAAGAAAGAAGGAAAGAAAATAGAGAAAGTGGGAGTGGAGGGGGAATGAGCTCTCAAAAAGAGCTCTCACAGATTAAAAGATTTTCCAGGCAGGACTTGCATAGGAACAGGTATTAAAAAGCCCAAAACATAGCAAACTACGTATGTGACTTTAGAAATGAGTCTGTATCATCCTATAGAAATTGTAGCTCTGTAGCATTTATTTGGTTAAGTAAATCCACTTAGGCTAACACTTTGTTATGGTCTGGAGGTGCAGTTATTTTCCAGAAGAATTATAGAAGTATATTGAGGATGATAGTTATATACTGAAATGAACTTTACACTTTAGTCTGTGTAATTATATACCAAAATGTAATTTACGTTTTTAGTCTGTATACAGATTTAAAAAATTAAACATATGTAGAGGAAAAGATCGGGAAAGGAAGGAAAGGATCTAGTGCAGATTACAGTATACGAAACATATGTTTGAGATAACGCTGATAGAGCTGAAGTATGTGGCCTGTGTTATACTTCTGTATACAAATGATGTGCTCGTTCCATCTCCACGCATACACTCACAAAATTGTACCTCTGACATGGTAGGGAATAATGCCAACGAGTAATTAAGAAAGCCTGGAAGCAGAAATCAGCGCTGCGATAAGTTTCTGAGATGGTTAATATTAAATAAATGCTACAGCTGTGGTAGTCGAAGGACACAACTGCAGGTTTGGGGGGAGACGATGTCTTTTATTACACCCTGTAGTTCAAATAGTTTGAAAAAAATAGGCAAACTTTCAAGCCTCGATTTTTCTCCCTCACATCACGGTATTTAAAACAATCTGTCTTGGGATATTAATGTACAAGGCAGTCTATCTGACAGTCATTCATTTCCCGAATTTGGTCAGAAATGAATGGTTCTTTTTCAGAGATTTGCGTTGGTGTGGTTCTCAGAGTCTGCGAATAGATGGTTTAGCTGGATACAGACAGTACTTTAAAAACGTCTAAAGAAAAATAGTAGTTGGAGAGAGCGATCAGTTCAGAGCTCTAGAAGCAGGAACTGGCATCCCAGAGCAATGGGATCTTTAAATATGCAGTAATTTTTGTCAGATTTTCTCATGAAACCTTTAAGAAGTTTGAGCTGAGTCACCTGCATCTGTTTGGTGGAACATCAATTCTCATCTCAATATTGTCACATCCTCTGGGAAGGAGCTCCGGGGACTGCACAGTTACTTGTGAAGCAGGGAGGAAAAGGGGGAAATACCGTGGGAGGTAGATCACACACAGAATCACAGAATCGCTCGGTTGGAAAAGACCTCCGAGATCATCATGTCCAACCGTTCCTGTCTACCCCCTAAACCATATCCCTAAGTACCTCATCTACCCGCTTTTTAAACACATCCAGGGATGGTGACTCCACCACCTCCCTGGGCAGCCTGTTCCAGCTTCTGACGACCCTCTCAGTAAAGAACTTCCTCCTTATCTCTGACCTGAACCTCCCTTGGCACAGCTTGGTGCCGTTTCCCCTTGTTCTATCCCCCATCACCTGGGAGAAGAGACCAGCACCCACCTCTCCACAAGCTCCCTTGAGGCAGTTGTAGGTGGTGATGAGGTCTCCCCTCAGCCTTCTCTTCTCCAGGCTAAACAAGCCCAGTTCCCTCAGCCGCTCCTCATAAGGCTTGTTCTCCAGACCCCTCACCCCCTCATATATGTGTGTGTGTGTTTGTGTGTGTGTGTGTGTGTATATGTACCATGACAATGCTGATTTTTGGATAATTTGGGCTCACAGAGGAGTATTGATTGATGGTAAACTGATGTCTCAAAAAGAGAAGGCATGGATGTTATGCATAGTGGTCATAGGCCACAAAGTAAATTTCTTCACCTATGGGGACTCTTCCTCCAAAAAGATAAATTTTGCTCCATCCATGCTTTGGACAGGGGATGCTGTGTTCACCTGCACGTATGAAGAGAAGGAGAAGAGCAATAAGAGAGGCCAAGGAAAGGGATGGACAATCCTTTGAGTCTCCTTCCTACCCCAGCTAACAGCCTCTTGGAGAAAATGAAGTGGTTTTTGTTTTGTGTGGTTTTATTTTACATCGTTTGTTCTTTATTTCAGGTTATCTGTGAAATGGAGAGCCTGATCCGCAAGCTGAGGGAAGAGCTTATTCAGGTGAAGGCTCAGCACAAGCAGCAGTTGTGGGAGCTGAGCCACCAGTGGGAAGAGGAGAAGCAGAGGGCGACTCGGGACCGCGAGGCAGCGGTGAATAAACTGAAAGCGGAGGCAGAAAAGATGACGTTAGAGCTGAGAAAGATACACACAGCAGAAATGGAGGAGGCCTTGGACAAGGTGAGAGGTTTGCCTAGGGCTGCTTCTTGTGGCATGGCACACGGGGAGCATGGGACGGGGATGACCACGGGGTGCTCAGGACTTTAAAAATCCAGCTGATTTCAAAGGCAGAGGCAGCCAAGGGCTGGGGTGATCACTTTTCTTTTGCCGGGACTGATGGAGTGTAAAGGGCGGTTCTGTCTAACCAAGCTTTTTCTCTCTTAAAAAGAGGGAAAGCTCTTAAGGAGGAAAAAGTTCAGGCTAAAACTGCAAGGAAATGGGGTCTGGTTGCTAACAACGGCTCATCTACCTTTGCCTGCGTGAAAGGCTTGAAAACAGAAATTAATGTTTCAGGTACTTCAAGGCTTCGCTCCCCGTTCTGTTCAGTGGGGTCACTGACTGCGCATCGGTGCTCGCTGAGCCTTCCCTTCTACTGGCATCTTAAATTCGAGTATTTCACCACGTTGGGGATGATCTGAGCTAACACAAGTGGGGTTTATTTCAAAAGCTAAACTAAAAAAACCCCCAGCCCTACTTAATATTGATGGTAGCCGCTGTGTATGTGTAAGCAGTAGTTGTTGAAGTATCTTTTATACGTGTTAATGGAATAAATCGTCCGTTTTATTGCGAAGCGATGCGCGGTGGCACAAGTGAGCGATCTGCATATAGTGCTTGAGCAGCCTTTGTGAACAGTGACATTTCATTTACCTGCGTCAGGTTCTTGGTCTGTAATTTTGAACAGCGTTCGGAGGATTATGTTGGAAATCAGCCAGCCTGAAGCCATTAAAACGGCTGTGATCAACAATTCAGGATCTTTTCTGAATGTAAGGAAAGCTCCGCTTGGCATAATTATTTAAAGCCAAGGTCACAGAAAGTATTTAAACCTTTGAAATTCATCATTAAAGGATTAATTTTAACTCAGGAAGACATTGTCATTTTTGCTTAAAAATGGAATTTGAATCTCAATTCTTTTCTTTCTTTGATCTTTTTTTACATGTGTAGTATAGCAAAAGAAAAGTTAACTTCTTTACATCCTCAAATTAAAGTTGCAAATAATCCTTCATAGGGCAATATCTTTAATAGTCTTGAATTGTCATTTCTGTCAGAAAGACTGTGGGATTTTCATTTGTTGGATTTTTTTTCCGATTTTTCAAAAAAATTGCTAATTTTAAGCTTTATTAACCCCTATTGAAATTTTTTTATTTCTTTAACCTATTTCCCTATTTTTACCTCTAATCAGAAGAGCACATGTTGAGTATAGGATAGGAGAGGAAAAAAACGTACCTCTGTTGGAAAGTCTTTCATGGAGAAGTGAAGATACCTTGTGTTACCTTCATATCTCCACTTACTGCCTCGCTTCTGTCTTCCCAATGCAGAGCGGTGGAAATTTGACACAAAGTCCAAAAGGCAAAGTAGCTTAGAGGGCAAACTCCATTTACAGCTCAGAAGTTACAGTTTCAGCTAACTTAGTTCAAATCTTAATCCTCTTAAAGTCCATAGAACTTTCATGAAGGAGATTTTATCCAAGGGGGGGGGATAAAAGAGCATCTTAACTGCAGAATAAATCTTGAAACTTGTTTTTAAGAGTCTTTATTTTTCTAGCAAAACTTGTTAGCTTGAGATTTAGGATAATACGGGAGAAAAATTGTTTTTTCTCAAAATTTACTTTTTTTCTCTGCCAATTCTGTAAAGATTGCTTAAAAATCCAAGAGGAAGCAGCATTTCACTGTTGAGGCGTGGAACATTTGACTGCCCAGATTTTCGGAAGGTCAGTGCGTTCCCAAGTGAAGGCTCTTGTTCCTCTGGGGGCTGTTTTGTGAGTAATACCCGATGGCTTTGGGTCATTGAGGACTTCTGTTCACATGAGCATGATGAAATAGAAAAGAAATATTGAAGTAAAAATGGGTAGAAGGAGATACAGGATTCGTAAGGCATTGCCCTGCTTCAGTGGGGATGGGGTAGAGAAGAATAGAAATAAAGGAGCAGTTTTCATTGCAAGAGCACTGGACATTAAAAGATTTGTTAAAATAGTTGTAGACAGCTTTTCAATATTTAGGGACACATAATTTAATTTACTGAGGTCATCAATCCTCTGTCGCTTCAAAGTCTCAACTTTGAAGATAGCAAATTGTTTACTGCAATATTTTAGTCGATTCCTTTTGTTACTGATTACGGCACACGGTGCCAGAAAGTTGCTCAACAACCATAGCACGGTAATGGTTTTGAACCTCTGGTTCTAAAAGCAAATATCTTTTGACAGTTATTGCATCTCCCAGTCACTGGGGAACGATAAGTGGGGAAAATATTTAACACGTTGCCAAATGGCACTGTGGAACCCGCACTGCAGGAAAAATAAACATGGCATCTGCTGGTGTGGAAATTAATAATAAAGGGAAAAGTCCATAATTTTCCAGTGACCTTCCCTGTCACAGGTATTATTGTCAATTCAACACCACTTTGTTATGAAGTGAGCTATAGCTGACCGAAACGTGTGTTATGAGCAGGGTTCACAGAATCACAGGAGTTGGAAAGGACCTGGAAAGCTCCCCCAGTGCAACCCCTGCCAGAGCAGGATCACCAGAGCAGTCACACAGGAACACGGCCAGGGCTTTGGGTGTCTCCAGACAAGGAGACTCCACAACCTCTCTGGGCAGCCTGGGCCATGCTCTGCCACCCTCACACTCACAAACTTTGTCCTCATCTTCAGCTTGAACCTCCTGTGCTCCAGCTTGGGACCATTGCCCCTTGTCCTGGCATTGGCCATCCCAGAGCAGAGCCTGGCTCCTTCCTCCTGACACTGCCCTTTCCCAATGGATCCCCAGGAATGAGGGCCCCCCTCAGTCTCCTCTGCTCCAAGCTCCAGAGCCCCAGCTCCCTCAGCCGCTCCTCAGCAGGAGATGCTCCACTCCCTCCAGCATCTTTGTGGCCCTGCTGGACTCTTTCAAGCAGTTCCTGTCCTTCTTGAACTGAGGGCCCAGAACTGGACACAATATTCCAGATGTGGTGGGAGTAGGGCAGAGTAGAGGGGCAGGAGAACCTCTCTGCCCTACAACCACCCCTTCTCATCCACCCCAGGATGGCGTTGGCCTTCTTGGCTCAAGGGCACATTGCTGGCTCATGGTCATCCTGCTGGCCACCAACACCCCCAGGTCCTTTCCAGCCACTCAGCCCCAAGCCTGTTGAACCTGGGTGGAGAAATTGGGCACCATTGAGCTGCAGAGACCCCAGAGGAGGTGACCGGGAGTCAGGAGACTTCTGTGAGCAGGGTCCCTGTCACCAGCCTGGCACAAAGAAGCAGAGCTGGGGTGTTACGGGAGCAGATGTGATGTGGAGGTGCCTGTTCTTCTTCAGCCTTGCTTCTTGATCAGGTGTCCCAGCCCCATCACACGTAACCACCTCATTGCTCATCTTTGAAGACACAATGTTGTAGTTATATTGGAATGCAAAGCCTTATCAGATACAGATAACAAATTGTCATGTCCTTAAGGTCAGATAAGCCATGCTGGACATAAATCAGACAAAAATTCAAGATGATAGCATGGAGAATTTGAAACAGTACTTACCATGCTCTTATGACCGCAGTACCTTCGTAATATCTGTTATCTGTCTCTAATATATAGAAATTACTTCAGAATATCTCCAAATCTTTACTGGCACTTACCATGCTCTTATGACTACAGTACCTTCATAATATCTGTTATCTGTCTCTAATATAAAAATTACTTCAGAATATCTCCAAATCTTTACTTGTCTGTTAGTTAAGGAATCTTAAATGTGGTATCAGAAGAACACTTGTATTCAGTCATAGTGATTTTGATTTAAAGTATAGATGTAATTTGCTTTCATTTCATCATATCGAGTGATTATAGAATGTTATTTTGTTATTATTATTATTTGAAGTCATACCTCATTATGATGAAATGTAAACTTTTAAAGAAATGAACGTATTAGGGAACACGTAATACTGTGGTTAGGTCATTTTCAGCAGGGGACAGGTGTGTTAGGGGTGCATCAGCAGCACCAACAGCACCAGCACTGAGCAGCCAGGTGTAATGGGCTGCACAAAGCTTAGCAGCATTTTGGGGTTTGCCAGAAATTACTGACAGCAAGAGACAAACTGCATTTCTGAGTGCGTGCAGATGTGAAGCTTGGCGGACACGACTGTTTGTAACATTCATCTGTGGTGTTTTCTTGGCAAAGAAAATGAGCGTTGGGAAAGCATGACCCGAGCAGATCCGTAGGCATGCTCACAGCGCTCAAAGGAAGCAACCTTGGAGCTGAAAATCTCATAAAAAAAGATCGCTTTGAGCAGCACACATGAGTACGTTGGAGCGGGAGGAGAAGGGTTTGTTGGGTTTTTTCCCCTCTTTAAATAATTTTCAACATTTAGCTTTTTATTGACTTCTTTCTAGATTTAAATAGATATTTTGACTCATCCTGTTAAATCTTTATGCAGGTTCCAGGAACATGTAATTCTTTTTCAGTGCTGCTTTTCTTGTGGAGAAGTAATTTACATTTTTGTGTATTGACTCTACTGAGCGCACATGATATTTGATTACAGGATGAGGCTGTAGTCAAAAAAAAAAGAGAAAAAGAGTGTTTCAAACGCTTCAGTCTCTGGACTGCAATTCCTATTTCAGTACAGTGGTGAAATGGTTCACTCTGGAGAGATGGGACTCCAAGGTGGCAGAGCTGTGCAAATAGTGCTTGGAGACTTGAGTGATGGAGCAGTTAGTTGTGCTCTGAATTTTCTGTTATTTTAAACACAGTTAGACATTTGCAATGATTTCTAGTCTATACCTGTTAGTCACTCCACCTGTGTCTGGTGGGAAGTTCACATAAATCTGAAAAGCCAGGGGAGTTAAAAGTTAAGGTCACTGTGCAAGTGGCTGCCTCCCTAATCAAGAGTAACGACTCTGTGTAATAGTTATGTTGTAATGCAATGTTTTTGTAAATAACATAGTGATAACATGCCCTATGGAGCATTTCATTGCTCCTTTTGGCATCAAGCTTTGTGATAC